GTATAAGCGTAAAATAAGCATAGAAAATCTAAAATACGCATCACTTTCAAAATTTGTGCGTCACAGTTACGCACAACAAAATGAAAATACGCTTGTATGTCAAAAATTAAGCGTGAAAGAATTGAAGTGTAAACATTTGATATTGAGAAAGAGGATGTTTTGAGCATAAAAAATACAATATATTTCCATTTTACTAAAAATTCTGTTGTCAAAAACGAAAGTAGCAGGAAGTACAGAAGGGAGGTAACTCCCATAGATCTACCTGTGAATTTATTGATAAAATTTGTACCAGATAATCATCGTAGTCGTTAACATAGTATAAAGTTTGTTTAGGCATCTATTGACATGCTTATGACTCAATATAAACGAAAATATATTTTAATTTCCTTCACTTTTGTTGTTGCAACAAAATAACATGTTTTTCACCTGCAGTTTTGTACTCAATATTTTCGTACCCAGTCTGCATTTACGGACAATTTTCTCTCAGACCAATACTTCTTTTTAGGAAAGATAAAAAAATCTTGTTTATTATTTTCTAATTCTAATTTTAACAATAATTGTTCAGACTGGAGTACATGATAAGGTACGTGCCAACAGAAATAAAGAAAGAAAAATATTGACTCTTAGAAAATAAAATAATTTCAGTGCTTCCACTTGTGGAAGCTAAGGAGTCATTTACTCCTTCATTTTGGCCTGTGACTTCCGGAAATCTAATACGTTTCGTTCATTACCTATATAATGTGACTTCCATTATCAGAAATTTTGAAGTCTTTTACTTCCAAATTTTGAAAAGGGAAGCCCTAATAATTTTGCTGTGTATCCTAAACTTGAGTTCCAGTATACTCTGAAAGTCTGACTTTACAGGGCATGTTTTGTATTGTTTCACATTGAATCAGTATTTTATTTGTAAAGGTTTTTCTAAAAAAAGAAAAATAAACAAACAAACAAACAAACAAAAACAATAAGTTTAATTTATTTATAAAAAATGCAAAATGCTTTTTTGACAGATTTTACCCCTTACGTTTTTCAGATTTTGCATTTTACCCCTCACTCAAAATTTTGAGGGGTAAAAACCCCTTGGCCAAAAAAATTATCTGGAGCTCTGTTACTATACAGTTAGTTCTGTTAAACCTTTATCTGTTATCTATTAAATAGAAAGGAATACCAAACAAATGCAAAAAAGCTAAAACATAAATATTTTTCAGTCCAAATGAATTTTAAAAATGTTAATTTTAGGTGGGGCGAATCGTCACTATAAAATTGAGACGAATCGTCACGGTGACGAATCGTTACCCTGTTACAAACAAATCTTCAAAAATTGATCACACGGGTGGCTCGGTTTCATAAAGTCTTTCCTCTTTAATTGAGGAAACTGACAAAATTACTAAAGAACTTACAATTTCTTCAAAATATCCTGGATGTCTGTATCAATTAACGTACTGACGAAAGTCGAATCAACATGGCTGACCTCAATGACCTGTGACGTGATTCAATCGCGCATTGATATTTTTTCTGTACACAGCACAAATTTACTGTAATTTTCGACATCATGATACATTTCAAAATGTATGATAACTCTCCTGTAATGAATGAAGGTACGGATTTTCTAACTTGTTACCGACCATACGGAACTATTTACTACGTGCATGTATATTTCAGCCGAAATTCGGTTTGCAGTAAGCTTCAGATGTAGCTTATAACTTTGGGTCGCTCTGCGCAAGCGCAGCGACCCAAAAATGAATTCTTTTTTATGATAGAAGCAATATAATTTATTTATGCGGGCTTGAGCTAAAGGAATATTGCATGCTAACACTGTACATATATTTACTAAGTAATTGAAATAGTCTGTTAAAGATGTATGATGCTCAAATTTGATATATGAAAACATTAATCATTGTTACACTGTCCTTTTTGTAAAGGTAAAATATATATGTTTTCAGTACACATACAGTATATGTAGAACGTTTTAAATTCTACACAATACAGGTGAGCACAGTATGAATGCATAGCGTACTTAAAAAAATGGCAGTTTTTTGTTTGTTTGTTTGTTTGTTTGTTTTAATGGCACATTTCTTGTAGAATCGAACCTGAACTGAAGTCTACGATTTATTGCACGGCACTACGAGAGGGCGGGGAGAGAGAGTGGGAGTTTCTTTTTCAGAAATATATGACGGCAACCGTTCAAGCAGAAAAGTCACGCCTACTAAGTACTCTTAGTTGCACGAGAAAAACGTGGATTTTGAATAAGTAAGTAATATGAATTGCTTTTTTTAGCTCACCTGAGCTTTCTCAGGGTGAGCTTTTAGGATCGTTTAATGTCCGTCGTCTGTCGTCCGTCGTCCGTCGTCCGTCCACATTTGTTCGTTAACACTCTAGCGGTCACATTTTTGCCTCAGTCATCATCGAACTTTGTCAGGATGCATATCTAGTTGATAGCTCGGATGAGTTCGAACATGGGTCATCTCGGATGAAATACTATGTCACCAGAGCTAAAAATAGAAAAACCTTGTTAAAACTCTAGTGGCTACTGTTTTGATCCAAATATCCTGTAAATTGGTCTGAATTTTTTATTTGATGATTTCTAGGTTAAGTTCGAATATGGGTTACCTTGGGTCAAAAACTAGGTCACACTGCCCAAATATGGAGAAACCTTTTTAACATTCTAGTGGTCACATTTTGGACTCAATTATCATCAAACTTGGTCAGGATGCTTGTCTAGGTCATTGCTCGGATGAGTTCGAACATGGGTCATCTCGGAAGAAAAACTAGGTCACCGAAGCTAAAAATAGAACAATCTTATTAACACTCTAGTGGCTACTGTTTTTATCAAAACATCCTGTAAATCGGTCTGAAAGTTTGTTTTGATGATTTCTAAATCAAGTTATAACATGGGTCATCTCAGATGGAAAAGTAGGTCACACCACTCAAATATGGAAAAAGCTTGTTAACACTCTAGTGGTCACATTTTTGCCTCAATCATCATCAAAATTGGTCAGGATGCTTGTCTAGGTAATTGCTCGGATGAGTTTGAACATGGGACATCTCGAATGAAAAACTAGGTCACCGGATCTAAAAATAGAAAAACCTTGTTAACACTCTAGTGGCTACTGTTTTGATCCAAGTATCCTGAAAATTGGTCTGAAAGTTTGTTTTGATGATTTCTAGGTTAAGTTCGAATATGGGTCACCTGGGTAAAAAACTAGGTCACACTGCTCAAATATGAATAATCTTTGTTAACACTAGTGGTCACATTTTTGACTCACCTGTAATGAAACTTGGTCAGAATGCTTGTCTAGGTAATAGTTCGGATGAGTTTGATGGGTCAGGTGAGCAATCTAGGGCCATCATGGCCCTCTTGTTTAAAATACACCTACATATCGATCATTTTAAAAGTTTTAATTACTTGTTTTTAATGTTAGAAAGTCCATAGCTATTTGAAACATCAAAATTAAAGATTATTGAACCTATGTATGATTGAGTAAATTTTCTTTGCTCTTTAAAGGTCATACAATACATGGTAAAACTGAAACACCATATTTTTGTTCCACATTTTTTGAGATAAGTTCAATTGTGTTCTTTAAGGCTTCTGGAATACGCCCTAGACACCAGTATTGTGAGGAAACAAGATGCCTACAAAGTGTTCATATACGTCGGGAGGAATATCGTCGGCCGGGCTGTTGCTTGGGATTTCTTCAGGTCGAAATGGGATGATATCTTCGAAACGTAAGCATCTAAAAAATTGTGGATGGCAAAATCAAAGTAAAAATAAAACAAGTAAAACATCGAGAGCAGATCTATACATGTTTCTTTTTAAACCACTTTGCTCTACCGCCTTTATAAAAGCATAATTTCTTTGATCTATAAGTTACAACACCAGTATGATTTTAATTCCCTTTTACGATCATTTTACATTTTTGTACACATGTAAAAATTTATGGTTTTTGTTATGTATTAACCCAATATTTTCTATGTTTAAAAACACTTCCTCGAACACAGGATGTACATAAGTAGTTTCTGAACCAATAATTTTTCACATTGACTTTTTATTGTAATGAAGAACAAATGCTCGAGAATAACACTGTCAGTTCTGTCGTTTTCAACATAAATTTTGCGTTGGTAATAATATTTTTTCCTCAACTAGTGAAATATTTCTTTGTTTAGATATGGGACTGGATCATTTTCCTTAAGCGATATCGTTTCTGGTGTAACGGCATCATTCAACACAGAGTTTCAACTGCAACAGGTACAAATGTATAAAATTAGAAAGTTAACCTTTGTGTACTTTTTTATGCATTTTACTCTGCAATTATAATCATTATAATTCTGTTAAATTTTGATTACTGTCCTGCATATGGAATGTTTTTTCGTTTTTGTTTTTTTGTTTGTTTTTTTTTTGTTTTTTTTTTTTTTTTGTTGTTAAAAAAACCGAAGAATATTTCTCAATGTTTTAGTTTTTAACCTTTTACGATATTTGTCCTATATTGCCTTCCAAAGTAATAACGACTTTCAGATTATAACGGTTGACATATAAAACTTCTGTCGCAGAAATAAAGTCCGCAGAAATAAAAACATGACAATATTTGGAAAAACGGTAGAATTTGGAGCCCGCAGAAAAAAACACACTTATATGGTATATTGTATATAACAAAATGGTGCAATAAGAATATATAAATAATGATAATTGTAACATGAGTGATATTTATATGCCTGTTATTTGTATTAAGCATTACAGTCTTAGTAGGTTATATGAATTCTTTCATCTAAATTAAGATTTTTATAGATATATTGGGAAATATCAAAATTAGAAGCTAATTCAAGTTTTGAAAATATGCATATTTCACTCGATACATTAATAGAATTTGAAGTAATATTTGAGCCGCGCCATGACAAATCAAACATAATGGGTTTGCGACCAGTATTGATCCAGACCAGCCTGCGCATCCGCGCAGTCTGATCAGGATCCATGCTGTTCGCTATCAGTTTCTCTACTTGCAATAGGGTTTGAAAGCGAACAGCATGGATCCTGATCAGACTGCGCGGTCTTATGTTGGTTTGTCATGTCGCGGCTCATTTCACTTTTTTAGCTGAAGGATTTCCAAGCTGCTCATCCGGATATGGGATCGGGATCTAGAGCCATGGCTCAAACTATAGAAAATACAAATACAAACATACAGTGGATGAAGGACAATTATGATACTGTAAAGAAATGGCTCGAGAACTACAAGAAGGCATAACGACGTCACAATGACGTCGCTTGAATTAATGCAAGCGTTAAATGACAATGAAAAACTGAAATAGAATGCCCGTTCTTTAGAAGAATGCATTTTAAAATATTATAATCGGACAATAGTTTATATTTTCTTGCTTTTATTTGCAATGTAGTACTTGAATTTCAAATAAATGATAATTTTTAAAATTGTTCTTTTTTTGTGGTTAAATTTGAATTTTGCTAAGATACTGTTTTGATCATTGTAGTTTACGCAGTTGACATAACTTGACAATTATCAGTTTGTCAATTTTATTCGTTTCTCTGGCAGTTCTGCATCTTACATTCTTTGGTGTTGATGCCTTCCTAAAGTTAGAATATAAGTAATGAAGCACAGATAAGAATTGCTACAATTACGAATATATACATTACAGTATACGGAAACAATGGACAGGTAATATTTAAACAGTTCAGCAATTAAAACTTCGGAAAAATTCACAGACTTCAGAAAATAAGAAAAATGTCTAGGAGGAAAGATGAAAATGGCTTAATCTTTTCTGAGCACTCTTAACAAGCATAAGTCCATATTTGATAAGACATGACTGTCCAGTAAATTTGGTTTTGTTACATTAAATCCTCATTAATTTTGTTACATGTTTTTTGTTGTTGTAAATATCAGTGTTTTGTCACCTTGTAAAACATGCGTTATGTCGTTGCCATATTGCGCCCTATATATTGCAAAGTTTATAGCATCGTGCTTCAAAATAAACATAGAAAACCATGTCAAAAGAATCAATATATTTTTCACTGAACATGTTCTTCTTTCATATAAAAAAAAAATTTGGATTGTCCACCTAAATGGTAAAAATGGGTTTTGAGAATGACACAAAGAAGAATAAAATGTAATTACGTACTATTTTCATAATGATCAATTATTTGCAACTTCCATATATGATTTAACATATTTCCCCAAAAAAGGTTAACATACTTCTCTTACCTACTCTACGCAACGTGCCGATACTACAATAAACGGCTGTAGGACATGTTTTGTTACTTTCCGTGGTAACAGTTCCGTTCCGAAGCATTAATTTATCATTTTATAGTTTTTATGTTTATAGCCTTTAATCGATTCAACATACTTTGAGCAGTGTTATAAACCTTGTTTGTACTCATTTAGTTTTGATTTGCGGCTGAAATAGCAAGGCTTATCTCTTAAACTGGCAACTGTTTTAAAGAAAGTCTTAAATGGTATGTAAGCTCCGAATAAAACGGAATTTTTAAATAAGTGATCCGATGTATTTTGTTACATTTGTATTATATGCTTTCTTTGTGTATTATTTATTTCTTTCTATTTTATCACCGTAGATGCTGTAAAAAGTTGTTTGTTATATATCCGATCCTTACAGATTTTTCAACACGACATTATTGTCTTGTTTGTTGTATCTGAGTTCTTTCTATTCTGCTATTTTCTTAATGGGTTGTTGCAGTATTCCTCACTTGAGTTCTGTTTAATGTAGCCTGCTTTTTAAATTTGTCTTCTGACAGCCTATCTGTAATTTGCAGGCTTCATAACATCTTTCAAAATTCCATTTTATTAAGTTCCGCCTATTGTTTTCTCATTTAAGACGCACGCATTTGTTTTACTTGGGGATCATATCCTGCTTTTCATTGAATGGCACTAACGTGTCACGTTGAAGAATCTATGATACTCGCAATATGAACGCATCTGCGGATGTTTCAAAACCAGTTCATGGTAAATTATAATACTGCTTTAGTCGGTGCTAGGGGGCGTGGGCGGTAACTCGCACTTTCTATTACCGTCCATGAACAGGTTCAATCAAACCAAGTCTGCGACATTTTCAATTTTGTCGTTTTCTGTGTTCTTTCGGGATTCTTTTTTTCTCTCTGTTTTACTTGAAGTATGATTTTCTGATTTTATCTTTTTTTAAATATTTAGTACATCTATTAACTGACTAGTCTTTTGTACATTTTATATATGAATATTAGTTTACCTATTTAATGTAAGTAAACTTTTATTTGTTAAAGGGATACTCAGGCAAATTTATGACAAAAATATTAAAATAATCTTATGAACTCAAATCACGCTAAAATGACATTGTTTAAAATCCCAGGATGTATTTCTGGAATAAATTCTATATATTTTGGGTTTGAAGCGTAAATATATCTATATATGTTGAACGAAATTCAGAAGCCGACAGAATCGCCAAGTAATTTTAAAACAAGTCATGTGACTTGGAAGTTAAATAATAGACAGTGTGGATATTGAATGATTGCAACAAGTCTAAACAATTCATTTGACATGTTCATTAACGTTTCCAAAATTCACTGTGACAACTATTTCAAAATCTAAACGCTCTAACTTGACCTGCGTGGGTCAGATTAGAAAACCATCATTTAATACTTTATAATGAGAAAAGACTTGTTCCTGTGACTGTGTAATGTATTCAGTTAGAGGACATTTACAGAATAATGAATGAAGAATTCAAAATGAAAAAATGAAAATTTGCCTGTGTCTCCCTTTAAAGATAACAATGTATTTTTTCTTTCTTTATATTGGGATTTTGTTGTGTTTTTGTTTGTTTGTTGTTTTTTTTCTTTTCTTTCTTTTTTCAAATGACTACAGTAATCAAAATATACACCAGGATGAGTAATATACGATAAATCGTATTTTATAATTTTTATTTCACCAAAGTTTGATGACCTAGCCCTATTTTAATGTATTTATTCAGTAACTGTACAAAACAGTTGTTCGGTTTTTTTAAACATGATACAAAAAATTATATGCTAGATAAATAATATTAATGAGTACTAACAACATAGAAATAGTGGAAGCAATACAAATATGCCAATTGGAAAACTTGTAGACCGAGTAAGGCTTCTCAATTTGTCATTTGCCTGGTAATATTTCATTACAATGTTTTAAGAAAGGTTCGCCTCAATTTTGACAGGATTCTGTAATTCAAGCTATGAATACAGAAAAAAGATTAAATAGATTTTCGGATGTATCTACTTTACTTAAACCATTTCACTGATAACAGCTTTTTGAAGACAACAATTGTTAATGTTTGTGAATATTCTGACGAGGATACCCTTTTATATATTTATACTGGCACAAGCCATAGCATAATAAAACTTTCTATGTTTTATCAGTTCTTTTCAAACTAAATAAGCGCAAAACCCCAACAAAATTACAGTATGAAGAACAATACTGAGGGGACAAAATAAATTTGCACAATTGCTCTTTAGTTTATTCTAATTAATGCCAAGCTTGGTATCCCGTCTTCCAGTAATAGTCATAGTTCCACGAGTAGTTTCAAACCACTCATTTATGTACTTCCTTCTCATATATAAACGAATTTCCTTTCAAAGATTAGATATACAACTATTCCTTCAGAACAATTGCCTTATTGATATTCAACTATAATTCATTAATTACAGCTTCTTCAAATCCATAACCTGCAAGTCGTTTATTTATGCATAAAACGTATGTTTAAAAAAATGAATGAGATCAAGTTTTTCAACGGCATGGTTATGCAATAAAACCTAATGTACACAACTTTGCTGAAGATCAGAGAATGGGAAATATTTTTGTTTTGTTTTGTTATTACATGGCCTTTGTAACTTCTTTTGTCTATGCTACTAGAGTGACTTATTTACTGCCATTGTGTCTTCTGTTACAGACATAGAAACGTCATAAAATTCAAATCCCCAGCTGAGAAACATTTGTTATTGTAGTTATAAGCTCCAAACGAGTCAACGTACAGCAAAGATTATGTTTTGTTGAATTGGAGACCTCGGTGTGCGTAAGACAGAAACTTTAACAATTTTATTTCTTTTTACGGAAGTTAAAAGAACTTGCAGGAAAAAACACGTCTCATTTTCTGTAATAAAAACAGCTGAATAATCTGAAAGAAAATTTCTCTGAAACAACGATTGTCTCTTAAATGTCCTTACAATTGAGATCAGAGGGAAAAAAACTAATTTAAGGGCTGTTGTATAAGAGATGTATTACTTGATTGAGTAAAACTAGAAAATAGATAAAATGTCATTTATTGGTGACAAGGAAAAATTAAATTACCAGAATTATTCCTTTTTCTCCAAATAAGTACTTGTTTCTCAAAAAACCCGCTGTTGATTGGTTGTAAATAGCTTTCTATTGCGAAAACGGTTATCAATTCCAAGATAAAATATGTCTTCAAGAAAGAAACAGCACGTCTCTTAATCTATGCATATATAATATTTCATATTAAAGAAATTTCTTCTTGTTAAGAATAAGTTTTACCTTTGACCTTAATGGAAGAAAAATATATTTAGTGATCTGTAGTTCTATACTGCAACTTGCCTGTAACAGACAGAGTTATAGCTAATGTTTCTTAAATCATGCAAAATTGTTCACATAATCCGTATTTTTGATTGTAAAAAGATTAGTGAATGAAAGAATTCGTATTGAATGTAAGCATCTTTGACAACGATGTATAACAAGTCTGTAGTGAAAGAAAAGATTATCATAATAAACGATCACATGTATTCTGGTCTGACCCACACAATTAGTCTTTATTTATATGTCTACTGCTTGTCAAAGAAATAATTCATTGTGTTGCATTAAATGTTTGCAAGACAAAGACATCATTCACATCAAAACACTAACAAATGCGTGAAAATTGTTATTAATGGTATCAGGTCAGAGGGTAACTATTTAGTATATCAATAACAGTTCCTTCATTGTTATATTACAAATAATTTTTTATACAGTCTGTATATATTATTTGAAATCTTACATTAGAGGCAACTTGGTGCAATTAAAATGAGCAAAAATAACAACAACAACAAAAACAAAACAAACAAAATCAAAGCAAAGAAGGCGCTGAATTTGTTTGAGTCACAAAATGTCAGAAAAGTGAAGATTGTGAGAGTATAAACCAATTTGTTTTTGTATAGTGCCACCATTTATAACTGTAGTAAATTGGCTAAAAGACTAATTGCAATACTGATATTCAATTCAATGTTTATTTGGCTTAAACAATTTAAAAAAAAAACAAAAACAAAAACAAAACAAAAACATGAATTGCATAAAGTGGGATTTTGGGATTTGAAATTCAGACCTCTCGCTTCCTAAGCTAGCGTGTAAACCCCTCGACCGCAGAGAAGTTTTAAAGTAAGGGTCTGAAGAAAACCACATTATTCTAAATTAGGG